CGTTCCTGTTTGACGTCAGCAAGGAGAGGAGGGAGAGGAGGAGGGAGAGGAGGAGGGAGAGGAGGAGGGAGAGGAGGAGGAAGAGGAGGAGGAAGAGGAGGAGGAAGAGGAGGAGGAAGAGGAGGAGGAAGAGGAGGGAGACCAAAAGGAGGGGCAACGAGGAGGAATGAGGAGGACGGGAAAGAGTTTAAAGGGGGAGATTGAGGCTGCGGACGATGATATGAGGGATGATAGGAGGGCAACGAGGACAAGGAGAACGACAGGACAGCTCTGAACAAGCAAGAGAAGGTGAGGGTGAAAGGTGGGGAGAGGAGGGGTGGATGAAGGAGCACAGGTGGAGAGGAGAGGAATGGAGGGGAGGGGAGAGGAAGGGAGGGGAGGGAAGAGGAAGGGGGGGGAAGAAACGAGGGGAGGGGAGAGAAGGGGAGAGGAGGAGGAGGTAGAAATACCTATGATGAGGGGGCCAGTGACTGTGCAGTTACAACGACACCCGTCAAGAATGGCCTGAGTGAAGAAAGAAAATCAGGAGCAAGTACACCAACATACCTCCTGCTCTCCCCGTCCCTCCCTCGCCCCCCTCTTCTCCTTCCGCTGCGTCATGTTCACTACCAAGGATCCTGCCTTTCACCTTGCCTCCTCCTCCTCCTCCTCCTCTCCTCTCCTTCTTCTCCTTAGCAGTAGAGAATTCATTCTCCTCGTTGTGTTCTCTTCTTACGTCCACTTCATCCCCACCCTTGCCCCTTCTTGTATGGCTTCGCCTTCATCGACCCTCTCATTTCCCCTGCTCCTGCTCCTGCTCCTGCTCCTGCTCCTGCTCCTGCTCCTGCTCCTGCTCCTGCTCCTGCTCCTGAAGGTATGGGAGGCCTAACTGCTGGAGGCTCCTGCTCCTGCTCCTGCTCCTGCTCCTGCTCCTGCTCCTGCTCCTACTCCTGCTCCTGCTCCTCCCTCTCTCCCTCCTCCTCTCTTTGCATTTCTCTGCCTTGTCCTTCCTCTGCGCGACCTGTCTTTGCATCCGGATCGCTGCTCCTCCGAAGATGCAAATCCTGCTCACCAGAGTGACCGAAAAGAAGATTGAAATCATAGAATTGATTCAAGGAGGCGAGGCGAGGCGAGGGAGATGAGGGGAGAGGAGAGGAGAGAATGGGAGGGGGGAGGAAGGGAGAGGAGAGGAGAGGAGAGGAGAGGAGAGGAGAGGAGAGGAGAGGAGAGGAGAGGAGAGGAGAGGAGAGGAGGAAAAGGAATGGAAAGAGAAGAGCAGTGGAATTTTCTTACCACATCAAACTGACGATCATTGGACCCACAACACCGGCGAAGACCAACTGATCGCGTTCAAGTCAGGCTGAGGAGAATGAGAGGGGCGGTAGGGGAGGCAGGGAAAATCATGAGGGAACGAACGAAAGAGGTAGAGGAAAGACAAACAAGCAAGCGAGGGCAAAAAATGAAAAGCAACATGCACAGTAGTGGTACAAGTAGGAGGAGAAAGAGGTGTTGGTGGTTGCAGCGGTGGTGCAGGAGGAGGAGGAGGAGGAGGAGGAGGAGAAGCAAATGCAGCAGCAAGAGCAGCAGCAAGAGCAGCAGCAAGAGCAGCAGCAAGAGCAGCAGCAAGAGCAGCAGCAGCAGCAGCAGCAGCAGCAGCAGCAGCAGCACAGTCTGCTATGACCTCTCTTATGCTTCTTCCCTTGGAGATCTTTGCTATCCACAGCCCGACCACAGGAGCAAGAGACATCCACCATCCCCAGTACTACTCCCCGTCATCCCCTCCTTGCCGTACCCTCCGTCCCCCCCCGGGGTGCGACTGCTGGTAGTACCCGAACCAGCCGTTGCCTGCCCACCCGTCGAACCAAGGGGAGAGTCGACTTCGACCTGACGAA